TTTTTTTTCTATGGCATTTTCTACGACCTAGCATGCAAAGTCGTAGCTGAATGGTTGATAGGAAGATAACCATGAGGTAGGTGGCGAAGTATTTCAGCAAAGCATATTTAAAGCTACCTTGCTCATCTTTCTTCCGTACACTTCCCATCCGCCGTGTTAACATTCTCGCTCAAGCCCCTCATCATGAAACAATTTCCTCTCTTACAATCAATTCTTGTAGCATGTGCCGTGCCTACGGCACTTGGTGCCCCTGCTCGTGCATGTTCACCCACCGCGAGAATTCACAACGGAACTGTCCAGGGCTTGTACAACCAGGAGTTCCATCAAGACTTCTTTCTCGGAATGCCCTACGCGCAACCGCCCGAGGGGAACCTTCGATTCCGCCGCCCGGTTTCTATCAATGAGACTTGGTCGACAGCTCTGAACGCGACAGCGTACGGAAATCATTGCATCAACAACCCTGTCGCTTTCTCCCTAAACCCGACGGGCGTGACCTATCCAGAAGGCGAGGACTGTCTCTCCGTCAACGTTGTACGTCCTTCGGGTACAACCGACCGCTCGAACCTGCCGGTATTGATTTGGATTCATGGAGGCGGCTTCCAAGAAGGTGGGAGCGGCGACGGACGATATAACATGTCGTACCTTGTACGCAACTCCGTTGAGATGGGCTATCCTACAGTCATGGTCAGCTTCAACTATCGGCTTAACGGTTGGGGATTCCTAGCTGGTCAAGAGGTGGAAGGTGCTGGCTTATTGAACCTTGGCCTGCTTGACCAACGACTTGCACTACAATGGGTCCAGGAGAACATCCGGGCGTTTGGAGGCGATCCTCACAAGGTCACCATCCAAGGAGAATCTGCTGGGGGCAGCTCTGTGGGGTTTCACTTGATGGCGTATGGTGGTCGAGATGATAAACTCTTCCGGGCCGCCATCATTGAGAGCAGCAGCCCGTTGAATGTCCAGACCTTCGCGACGCCGACAGAACGTCAAGTCCATTACGATAGGATAGTAAACGATACTGGTTGTACTGGTGCAGTCGACACACTCGGATGCTTGCGAGAGGCTCCCTTTGACAAGATAAAGTCTGCTTTGTCGACACACTGGTTGGATCCGGTTCTGGATGGGACGTTCATTCAGGGTTTCAGAACCATTGGCTTACGTGAAGGAAGCTTTGTGAAGGTCCCTCTTCTTATCGGAACCAACACGGATGAGGGGCGCCTTTTTGTGGGGAATGGCGTCAATACGACTGATGAGTTTCGCAACTACGTGGCAAATACTTCAATTTTTGGCGTACCGAAGTCAGAAGAGAGTGTCGACCTAGTACTGGACTTTTATCCTACTGAGATTGATGAAACCGACTACCCGCCGCAATTCGGCGCGCAGTACGGAAGGGTTCAGCAATATATTACTGACTTTAGCTTTACTTCCGGCAAGCGTTTCAGCGCCCGTAGGTGGTCCGATTTCAGCCAGCCTGTGTATACTTACCGGTTCAATACGCTCCCGAACGGATTCGACCTTGGATCAGTTGGGGTCACGCACTTCTTGGAGGTCGCCTTCGTTTTCAATAACGTACCCGGAACCGGCATGTCTGTTAGCTCCTTCGACGTCTCGCCCCCGGCACGGAAGCAGCAGTATCTGCAGTTGGGTCAACTTATGAGTCGTATGTGGTTGAGCTTTGCGAATACTCTCGACCCGAATAACCACAAAGGTATGTCGAAATATCCCGAACTAGTCTATATTGTCGATTTCTAAACCACTATGTAGTACCCTCTGTCAACGTGTCGTGGCCTCAATGGACCCCAGCAGAGCCTCGGAACATTGTTTTCGACGGAAACCTCACGTCTATTGCCTACATTGAGAAGGATGACTGGCGTGAGGAGGCCGTCAACATGTTGATCGATAGGGCTTTGGATTGGGGTCGTTGAATGAGCAGGAGTTGAGTTCAACTGAAGCATGAAAGCTTTCCCTGGCATATCTGCCTTCTAAATATGAGAACTCTGAGGACTTCACATTCATTTCTATGTTTCGATTTTATATTTCACTTCCTTCTCAGTCGCTTTACTTTTAGACCTTAACCAGTACATATAGTAGTAGAGTCTTTAAATATACACTCGGCTCTACCCATCTAACACTGGCCGCTGTGATGCTAGTTGGAAACCTCCTTTAGTAAGGCGGATTCATATGTAGCTGCCAAGGGCAAGGACTCTTCTCCGACAATGGCCGTTTCCCTGCTCCAAGATGCATCAGTCCTCAGAATTTTTGCCCCAGTATAATACCGCTTCACGCCTTCAACCATCTCCCCCGGTTCCGTTGGTTATTTCGAATCTTTGGCACCATACAAAGACGCTCCACGTCTTCTCTTGTAGGCTCTGTAGGATCGTAGATCGGATCAAAGTGACAACCAGGGAATATCTCACCCAAGCTAATCTCCAGTTCCTGGAAGTATGGCTTGAGTACAACCATCTCCCAAGACTCGTCCGATAACTCCAATAGACTGGAGACCTCGTGGGGTCTCCCGATTTGTCCAGCTTCACGGATACCTCTACCTGCAATTATGCATCTGCTAGTTTCGTCCAGTCGAAATGACGGCCACGTTCAAGATGAAATTTGTGACTAACAAGCCACGGAAAATATGTCTTACGGACAGCAACTTCGTAAAAGCTGCCGTCACTGCTTTTCCCAACAACGCATAATTATCCCCGTTGCTGACCTTGTTTGACCCCAGTCGGAAGTTTTTGGCTCTATTTGGCCTGTTGGCACATAACAAGACTTCCATGGCTCATTGGCTACGGGTATGCGCAGGAGTTCATCGACATCGAAATACAGGATTTGCTCAAAGGTCTGTTAAATTAGTATAGGCTCTTGCGAGTGCCTCGGGGAGCTTTCAGGAGAGCCTTACCTGCTTAACCTCACGGGTGAACCAAATTCGGAGGCTCGCCGCAATAGCTCCTCGGAATGGAGGCGGTGATGGAGAAGTGGCTGCAGCCATCTTAAGCACTTCTGTAACTCATGCAGCCAGACATAAGGCAAACAATGCGGCCCGGAATAACAAAAGATTAGGGGAATCACTCAAGCAAAACGGGCGACAATGTTGAAGAAAGAAGAAGTTTATGCGATAAGATGCAAGACGCTACAATTGTTGGTGGCGAATGCACAGACTTAGACTCTCGGAACCAGAGGTGCCAGCTTGTGAGGGGGTTGCAAGATTCCGAGTTTTTTTTGTTCAACCGTGACGCGTCTCTACAAGGGGGCGTGCGGGTTCGCCCGGTTTTCTAGATTCTTACAGGGATGTCTTTTGGATCCGATATTGCGGGGCTGTTAGCCAAGACTGAGGTACTACTATTGTATCCCCAGATGAATGTTTTAAGTGGGCCGCTAGCAGGGATTTCTATGTGGTGACGTTCAGCTAGGGGAAGAGATAGTAGCGGTAGGAACTTGGGACGGCAAAACGCGACAGCTTGCTATTTACAGTGATCCGTACTTTATACTTATGGCATCGATTTTCGAGCCCATATTACCGGGGGAAAAACAATGAGGCTAAAAGAGCAACCGAATAGCCTCGGATGCTCAGGGATTACAATTCCCGTGGCATTCATACTCCACCATGGTTATGTAATTCCTCCTACCGAATCCGAAAGATTCGGCCTTCATATCAAAAATAAGAAGTGTTACCTCCACCGCTAAATTAAAGATTTCCTGCCATACTGTCGAGCCAAGACATATCATTCATGTCAAATGCAAAACCACTAACATCAAATTCCATCCCAAACTCTGGACCTTGCGGCTCGTCTTCTAGTGAGTCACTGTTGACGAAATTTTCATGAGATTCGGGACCGGACTTGATGTTGCATGTCTGGACAGCTGTAGTTTCGAAAATTTTGGATGACAAGAGCTTCAGTGTTGCCATGCATCTTCGAGCTGATTCGCCATACCTCTGATAAGACTTGAGAATGGTCATAGCATGATCCCATGATTCACTACGTGAATAAGCCACAGAGCCTTCTTCTATGACAGGCTTAATTTGCGCCGCAAGCAAAATAGTGGCCGCTGTATAGACATCTAGCTCGTTAGTAATAATAAAATCTTATAAGGAGGGACACCAACAAAAGACACAATACCACCATGCCGGGAGTGGTGAGGAAGGTTCAACGTCCAAATTGGCGTATATAACAGCAATTAAATCGTGCGCAGCCATGAGGCAGAGATTAGAGCATTGCTGCATCACGCGTTGCGTAAGACTGTCATCTGCCAAAGTGTCTGTGGCTGGTAGTTGTGGTTCAGGTAGACAGAACTTGGCAAGTATTGGCCGAAAGAGAAGAATTCGTGCGTGTAAAAAGCTTGACGCAGTTAGCTCAGCTTATCGCATTACAAGAGTCAAGTCATACCTAGTCCTACAGAGTATAGCTTGTCGTCGAGATATCGTGCTTTCAGATGACCTATCCGAAGAGATGCGAAGATGCGGAGGAAGACTTCGAGGCCAAGCCATTAA